AGGCTGCCACTTTGTGATTGTGTTACTTTGTGACTTGCTTACAGGAATGAAGTAACAGAAATACAAGTTTGACTACTAAATATAAGCACTAGGATAGGACCTCTAGGTATGTGACCCTTTCAGTGATATTGTGGGAAGCATGGTGGCTGCACTAGACTGTGAACCAAGGCCTAAAGTTCATGCCTGCCAGCCGCCCATGGGAGAAAGGTGACGCTTTCTGCTCCCTCAAAGCCTGGGAAACCTTATACAAGGTTGCTATGAGTTGGATATCATTGCTGACGTCAGCTGGATCTTGGCTGAAAGCAGAGAATACCAGAAAGTTGTTTACCTGTTGACAATTTGTTTTATTGACAGTGCAAAGACTTTCAACTGTATGGACCATAACAAACTATGGACAACATTGTGGAGAATGAGTATTCCAGAACACTTAATTGTGCTCATGAGGAACCTGTACAGAGACTAAGAGGTGATCGTTCGAACAGAACAAGGGGACACTGAATGGCTTAAAATCAGAATAGGTGTGTGCCAGGATTGTATTCTTTCACCATACTTATTCAATCTGTATGCTGAGCAAATAATCTGGGAAGCTGGATTATATGAAGAATGTGGCATTACAATTAGAGAAAGAATAATTAACAGTCTGCCATATGCAAATCTGCTGCACAAGACCTCTTTAAAATGTTCAAGAGCAAAGATCAGTTTGAGAACTATGGTGTGCCTGACCCAAGCCATAGTATTTTCAATTACTTCGTGTGCATGTGAAAGTTGACAATAAATAAGGAAAACTAGAAAAATAGATGCATTTGAGTTATGGTGTTGGAAAAGAATGTTAATAGTACCATGGACTGCCAGAAGAATAAACAAATCTGTGTTGTAAGAAGTGAAATCAGAATGCTCCTTAGAAGCCAAAATGGTGACACTTCGTCTCTTATATTTGGGACATGTTATCAGAAGGGACCAGTCCCTGGAGAAGGACAGATGCTTGGTAAAGTGGAGGGTCAGCGTAAGTCAGGGAGATCTCCGATGAGATGGATTGGCACAGTGGTACCAGTCATGGGCTTGAGTGCAACAGCGATTGTGAGGTTGACGCGGGACCAGGCAGTGTTTCATTGTTATGCATGAGGTCACTATGAGTCAGAACTGACTCCATGGCACCTAACAACAATGAGTGGGAACTGACTCCGTGGTGCATACCAGGTGACACTACCACAAACGTTATCTTCATTTTACTTACATGGAAAAGGATGCTAAATTGGGATTGTAAACACCCCAGCCTCAAAGGCCCAGGATCATGTGATGGCACCAAGCTAATAAATATTTCTTTGAAGGCCGGCTTGTTGTTGTGGTTAAGTGCTGTCAAGTCGATTCCAACTCACAGCGACCCTGTATAGGGTTTCTGAGGAGCGACTGATGAGTTTGAACTGCCAACTTTGCAGTTCAAATTACCACAGTCTGGTATATTGATGCAGGGTAATTTACTAACCACGTTCCTGCTTCTGACCAGTTGGGCTCTTTCTGTTGAATTCTCCCCTGACCAAACATGGTGTTATTTTGTGTTCACAAAAAGGTGTGGGCCTTTGGGTGGTACTGCATGTTCAGGTAATCTCAGTAAAGAGTTTAAAATCATAGATTGCATGTCTGCATGTGTGCGTGCCTGCCTGCCTGCATGTTTATGTGTTGGGGGTGGGGTGGGACAGAAGGAAAGTCCCAAAGGGAAATAAGGAGGGGTAGGCACTTTGGAGAGGCAGGAAATACAGGAGAGGTGAAATCTCAAACCAGGCTGGAAGTTGGATCCTGGTTGGTTTTCGTGACCCTCACATTTCCCTGATGGTCCCAGGCTCAAGTTGCTTGGGCTTTGAGGTTCTAGAAGGAGGTCTACAGGGATTAGGTAGTTTGTGGTCTACTTGTTTCCTCTTTGTCCCCATACTGCCCACACTTGAGTCTCTCATCACTCACTCAGCCAAGAAGGGCTTAGGAGACCATGCAGACCCTCTGAATAGCTTTTAAGGGGGTAGGAGGAGTGGAGTGATGGAGGCAGAACTCTAAGGCCTGGTTCCCACACTTGTTCACGCATGCAGATCCCCTAGGATACATGCCCAGTGCACAGATCCTCATCAGCTGGTCTGGGTCAGGATCTGAGATGCTGCATTTCTAACAAACTCTCTAGCGATGCTGTTGATTCTATGATCACACTTTGAGTAGGAATGCCCTAAGGAGTCTGGTCAGGGTCCCAGCCTTCCTTCCCCCTGCTTCCTACCACAGCTCAGAATTGAGATGAAACATTTGGGGAGACAGGGCTTAGGCTTTGATAGGAGCAGGAAGTTGTCCCCAAATCACAGCAGTACCTGTTCCTCTAAGTGCAGATGTTGGGGAACTGATTCATCCCTCTGGAGATGGGAAGGCTCTACAAGACAGGATCTGCATGGCCTGAAGCAGATTCAGAGAGGGGATTGGCTTGCCCAGGGCCATACAGTCTGCTCTTCTCTAGAGCATTGGGAACACCTAGACTTGAACCTTCTGCACATAGGTTGTATAGTCTGCCTTCCAAATAGGGTTTGTGGGGAGAGGGAATGGGTGTCTGGAATACGGCCGATGGCAGGAATTCGGACAGGCAGTGTATGAGGTGGGAAGCTGCAACATTCTCCCTGGGGTGGTGTCAACTCTCTGGCCCCTTGGCTACCCTGGCTAGCCTGGGAGGGGTCAGCTGGGGATAGGCAGCAAATAAATATAGACCCAGGGAAGGAAGCCAGGAGGCCCAGCCCTGTGCTGACCTCTAACTGGAAGACTGGGGAGGGTGGGGCCGGGTTATGTCCCTTCACTCTCCTCTTGGGGTGAATGACATCTGGCTTAGCAGCCCCTGAGAGTTACTGGAAGTATCTGGGGTGACAGGGCAGAGTCTCCGAAGGGAACTGGAGTGGTGAGGCTAGTGGAAACCTGGTGCTGAGATGCTGTTCTTATGTAACCTATAGCAAGCTGTGTTCCTTCTCTAGGCTTCTTGTTTTCCTCCCTGGAGATTCCTCTCAAAGGTGCTATCCAGCTGGATGACTCTGGGGTAAGAGACTGACTGGTCCAAAGGGATGTGGAGATCTACAGGTGCCCTCAGAACTCTTCTCTGCCCCATGGATCTTGCTTATTGCTGAGAGGAAGGATACTCAGGGCATAAATACTTCTATCCCTACTCTCCCACACATTCATTGGGTTCTAACCCTCTCCACCCTGGGGGCTGCAGGGCCCATAGCCCTGATCCTCCCCCAGTCCCAGGGTCCCAGGGCCACCACCCGTGTTCCCCTTGCTGCAGCCCTGCACCGCACCAGGCCTACAACACACACACCAAGCCCACAGGTCTGGCCAAGACTGCGTACCCCCAACCCTGACTCTGGGAGCCTAAATTGGAGTCAGGCAGCCACTCTACCATAGATGCATTTATTGCCCAAACATATCTCCAAACATCAAGGGAAAAGTGGGCAATGGGCAATGATTTTATTTTTTTCTTCCACTTTTGAAGGAGCTAGGGGTTGGAGAAGGGGATAGGGACATCACAATCAAAATGTCAATACCAGCAGCTAACATTATTGAACTCTTCTAGACAGACTATGCTAACGAAGCCCTTTACATGCATTGTCTCATTTCATCCTTACAACAACCCTACAAGGTAGGTACCATTATGTCCCCATTTTACAGATGAGGAAACTGAGGCAAAACCTAGTGAAGTGGTGGGAGGTGGAGTCCTCTTTCAGGGCTGCAACTGAAAGCCTTCCAACCTCTTTGCTTCCCTGCTCCCCCATTTCCCATTGCTGCCGCTTCCACATCTCTCAACTCTTTTTATATTTTTATTTTTTAAAAAAATAGATTCTGCTTATGTGATGGAGAGCCCACTCTTTCTTACCACATTGGTCAAATCTGAATTTGCCTCAAGATTCAGTTTGGGTGGTGTTGGGGACATTGGTTCTCTAACTATGAGGAAAGTCTGTATGTGTGTGTGTGTGTGTGTGTGTGTGTGTGTGTGTGAAGCCTGAGTATAATGAAAGCTTTTAGAAAATCCACAATAAATTACACACCCTCCCCAGCCCATCTCCCACCTCTCCCCTATCTTCCCATCCGTTCCCCACCCCAATCCAAATCTAGATCTGACTCAGCCTTTCCTCCCACTACAGGGCAGGGTCTTTTCTAGGTCTCTTCTATATGTCAGTAAATGTTTGTGGAATGCATGAATGAATGAATGTAAGGCCCTTTGCAGAGCATGGGGAGGGGTTAGGAACTCAGGAGTCCTGAATTCCAGTCCCAATTGTGTTCTCACTAACACCTGACCCTTCTGAGAAGATGAGGCACTATTTGCTGGGTTACCACCAGAGGGTTAGAAAGTTGGGGCTTGGGCACAGCAGAGAGTCAGAAGGCCATCTCTGAGCACAGGAAGGTGTGCTGGACAGAGGACAGAGCTCTGGCCAGGGAGTCAGAGCCCTGGGTTAAGTCCTGTCTGTGTGGCTTAGGAGCTGTGTGACCTTGGGCAGACTTGAAGAACAATGCTGACTAATGTAGAATAGTCTGTTCACATGCTTTTGTCCTTGATAACCATACTGTAACGTGGCTACTATCATCATTATACCCATTTTACATAAGTGAATTTAGTGGCTTCAGAAGTCAAGGTACTTTCCCAAGATCACACAGCAAGGTGGAACTTGAATCCCCAGGCCTTGCTACTGCCCTTGTCTGTGTCATGAGGAGGTGGGTTCAGATCTGAGCTTTCCAACATGGTATGCCCACATGGCAGTGTGATATCAGCAGGCCCTAATGTGGACCTCTGACCATCTCCAGCCAGAAAAGCAAGTTTAACTTTGTGGAATGTTTCCTAGGCACCCCTTCTTCCCCCCACCCATAGCCCCAGACCTCAGCTGCTGTCCCAGGAAGAGGGCTGGGGGTCTGTGAGATGCCCATGAGCTTCTGTTTTCCTGGGGTGGGGGGAGCAGGTTGGTAGAGGGGGTGCCAGGGCTTGGATCCACCTCTCACACAGGCATGGGCACCTCATCATACTCATCCAGACCTTCCTCTTCAACACAGCTTGCCTTGGCATCGTCGGCATCCAGCTGGAGGGGTGGGGCAGGAAGGAGAGAGTGTGAGAGGTCGCTGGGCCAGAAGAGTTAGGAGATAGCTCATTCTCTTGGAGCTTTGGACAAGTCCTGTCCCCCTAACCTCTGGACAGCACAGGGGTTGGCGTAGATGAGAGATTTTTAAAGAGTGAAGAGCTCTAGGAATCTAGTGCCGAGAGTGGGCGGGACAGCCCAAGGGTGACCCGTGTTGCATTGTGGGAGAATTCTACTGGAAGAGCAGGCCTGTTCAAAATGAATCAGATCACAGAACTAGTCACTCAATGCTGGTGACAGGTCACATGAAGCATGCCCTCTGTGCCTCTTAACCCTCTAGACAGCCTGTCATTATCCCCTTTTTACAGATAATGCAAACCAAGGCCCAAAGATATGAGACCACAATGAGAAGGACCAGGACGCAGACATAGGCTCCCGTGATATTGTCTGCCTTCCTCTGTGCTGAGACCCACCCCTCTCAGTTTCCCAGGCCCGCTGGTGCCACTTTCCTGGGCTTGGTTCTGGAGATCCTGCCTTCCCCAAGATGCCCTCTCTGGTGGGTGAACAGCTACTCACACACTGAAGTTCCAGTTGTCTAAAGATGAATGGCAGCAGAAGGCGCCGCAGGGGCACAGTGAGGATGAGGACAAACGGTAGGGTCAGCGAGGCGGGTGTGATCTTCACCACCCACAGCACCACCAGGCAGATGATCTGGATGCCCGTAAACAGGTGCATGCGCCAAGTCTTCACCTGAGGACAGAGGCTGAGGTCACTGCCTACCCTCCCCAGGATGCCCTCTCCCTGGATCGGCAGTTAGAAGGGCCCTGTACCCGCTTGACGTAGGGCACATCTGGGTGGTACTTGGATGGCTTGAACAGGAACAAGATGCGGTCGAAGAGCTGGATGCCACTGAGAGATGTAACTCCCATGTAAAGGAAGATGCCAAACAGCACAGCCAGGGGAATGCGGGACAGGATAGGCTCCATGAAGATGGACAGGCCTGGGGCAAGAACCATCCATCAGCTCCAGACTGCCCAGAGGACGCCTCCAGGGACCAGGCCCAGGTGTGGGGTTGGGAAATTAAAGTACAGGGACTACATAGAGCCCAGACTGTGGGCACTTTTTATCCTCAAAAAACCTCCCCCAAAACCCAGGGGGGCTGGTATTATCCCCATTTTACAGATGAGAACATTGAGACTCCGAGAGGTAAAACAACCTAAAGCTACACAGCTTTAGTGGCAGAGCTGGCAGTCAAATTCCTGCCTGCCTGACTTCAAAGTCCACTCTCCTAACCTAGTGGGGGTTACCAACTTTACTCCCCAGCCAGAATGTCTCCATTGCCCTTCACTTATCCAAGTCCTACCCTCCTCCAGCTCACAGCAACTTTGGCTCCTCTGTGGCACTGTCTACACTGAGCCCAGCTAGACGCTCAACTGTTTCAGAGCTCAGACCAACTCTTCTGTCCTTTTGCCACCTGATCCCCATGAGGTCAAGAGCACTGCCCCTCCATCAGTCACAGAGCAGCTGAGTTGGAAGAGACTTCAGGTACAGCTAATGAACCTCCTTACTGTGAAGATGGGGAAACGGAGGCCCACAGACAAGGTGGACCCTGAGTTGGCAGCAATGCGAGGTTGGGATCTGGTCTAGAGCAGACTTCAGTCATGTTGGTCCCTCATCTCCTGCTCAGATGCCCAGACCCAGGCCTGTGGCATTACCTTCAGGCTGCCCTTGTGTGGTGGGTACCAGTGAATCACTGATGCTGGGGAGGTGTGGGCGGTGGTGTGTGGGAAGATATGGCTACAAGGTGAGTGAGGAGAAGGAGGCACTGGAGCCTAAGAGGCAGGGCTGGGGGACAGGCAGGAAGGTGCTGGACACAAGTGGTTGGGTGTGTGGCCCTCACTCACCCACGAGCACAGAGACCAAGAGCCCACTGATACGCTGCTCCCTGACCTCCTGGATCTGGGCTGCAGCTCCAGGGGTGCTGGCCTTGCCCATGACAGTAAGGGCATTGGCATGGGTTACAGAACGCACGGTGGTGGCGCTGAGCCAGGGCATTCCAAAAAGAGCGGCCACTCCACCCATGCCCACAACCAGCAGCAGGTCCAAGTGGAAGCCAGAGCCCTTGACCATCTTGCGCTCTGGCTTGCTGACAATCAGCCTGGAAAAGACAGGATGGAGGTCTGGGGTAAATGGATCTCTCCCCAACCCACACCCCCTTTGTCTCTTCCATCTCTCCCCATACTGAGTCCTTGTGTACCTCAGCTTCTCCTCTGTACTCATCACCCTTGGGTTCCCTGTTCTCCCTCCCTTCCTGTCTTTGGATTCCCAGACTCTAAGAGCAGGAGAATCTTCAGAATCACCTAGAACCTCCACAGGAACATTGACTTTGAAGTTTGTACAGATACATTCCAAGGTCCAGCACCTAATTTTGTAGTTTTTGTTTTACCTTCTCTTTCTTAAAAAGGATGCCCCAAGATACAAAACTTTAGATCCCACAAAACCTGGTCTTGTCCTTGCCCTCCATTATCCCAGCAGAGCCCAGTGCTCCATCCTCTTGTCTTCTGCCTGCCTTGAGTTAGCTGGCCCCATTCCTTGTCTCAGACTCTGCCAGGCCCACCCACTCCCCTGGCTCTTACGTGGTGATCTGGGACTCAAGGAAGATGAGAATGAAGACCAGCAGGGCAGGTAAGGCAGAGGCAAACATCATCCAAAGGGGGAAATCAGAATACAAGCCCAGTGGGTGGATAACCCAGCCCCGGGCTGTCGAGTTGGACACCATCAGGCCTTTGGGCACTTTGAGTTTCTGTAGGAAGGGGCAGCTGGTGAGAATATAAAGGAGGAGATGGGGAGGAGGGGCCAGGGTCCTGAGGATCAGTCAGTTAGGTTGGGAGCATTTATGAATTCACATATATTGAGCACCTATTATGTGCTCAGTCACTACACTAAGCACTTTGAATACATCTTATTCCCAATTTCACAGATTAGGAAACAGAATCTCAGTGGGGATGTAACTTGCTCCTCATCATACAACTATTTGGAAGCAGATCTGACAGGCTCCAAAGCACTCTATCTTAAGGCCCTGGGTTAAGGAGTAAAGTAAAGTACTTGACCAAGCCCCTTGCTTTCATTCCAAGGGTTCTGTGGACATTGGGAGGAGCATGGGGCTCTCAGGGGTGGACAGGGATGGAGTAAGGCTAATTCAAGTTGGCTTTAGGTTAAGAAAGCTGTTCTGGAGCGTGGGAATGGAATGAGGAGCAGGAGGATTTAAGGATCGGGGAAGGGGTCACCTGAGTGTAGGTGTCCTCGATGAAAAAATCCACCATGACCATGAGCAAGATGGAGATGGGAACCCCAAAGTCACCGATGACTCTGCGCAGCTGTGGGTATATGGAGGGACCAGTGGTCAGCACCCAGTTACTACCCACCTCCAGCTTCCCACATGTCTTCCTCCAGGCAAACCTTCACCGAGGGGACCCCACTCTTTCAAGACAATCCACCAGCATCTCATGCCTTCAAATCTACCTGTTTCCTATCTTCTTCCCTTGGCCTTGCCCTATTCCTTCCCAAGGTCTATCCTTACCCCTCCCCTCCCATACACACACACACACACACACACACACACACACACAGGATTCTCATCCTGAGTGTGCTGAGAAAGGGTAAGAAGGGACATGGGGAACTTGGGATCAGAAGGGAGCAGCTCAAGACATTAGGAATGGGAATAACATGAAATAGGAACAGAAACTAAGGGCATAGAGGAATCTGGGGGCTTTGGACTGGGATTAGGTGGAGGAGGCAAGGCGATGGTGAGCTGACCTTTCCGGGGAAGTAGGAGCTGTTCTTGAACTTGCGTAGCATCATTGCGAAGAAGAAGGTGCCAGCCATAAGCACAAGGGAGAGGAGAGCAGTGTTGGGCAAGGGGGCCTGGGGTTTGGGCTCCACCGTCACGTTGTGGGCATAGTGCTTCTGCAGTGGGTGTTCCTGGAATATCTGTGGCAGGAAACCAAGGTACACTGTTCTTCCCTAGCCTTGATTTGAGCTGGAAAGTATTTGCTAAATCTGTCCAGCGGGAGCATCCATCCACCATCCATGCATCCATCTTTGTCTTCAGCTGCCATGAATACTGAAGGGCAATGGGATTCCGCAGCTTTCAGGGATGGGGTAGGCCATGGAAACAGTGAATGTGTGTGTATGTGTGCATGTACATATGTACAACCAGGGCCTGAGAGACATGACAGGGCTGGAGGGAAGGAAATAAGTGAAGAGGAAGTTTCTAGAAAGGGCTTAAGAGACCTGTAACAAGAAGACCCAGTAACCAACAGCATCAGGAGCAGACATGGTATCCACTCTGTTACCAGGTATAGTTTGAGGTCACCGAGTTAGGGAGCCAGGGTGCTCCACCGAAGGTCCTGAAGTTCTTGTGAGAAAGTGCAAGTGAGAGAATGGGGAGACTTCAGAGCCCCCACCCTTCTCCCTCCATGCACTTCCCATGATCATGTTCAGATGCACACATGTAAACATATGGTCACACCTCCAAATGTGGACAGGTGCCCAGAGGGTGCCCTCTATGCATAGCCATGTCAAGAATGCAGTTATGGTAATAAATGTCAACATGTATGTGGTCACAGTCACACAGTCATGTGGGCAGATATGCAAACAACTCAGACACATATGTCCCCACAGTTACATGTCATATGGGCAGTCACACACACACAGAGCCACACAAACCCCCACAGGCACATAATCTCATCCACATTCTCCCACATATGTACACACATGCTTTCTCGCCCATGGGCCCCCACCTTGAACAACTTGTAGAAGGTCTCATAGATGAAGATGAGAGAGATGAGGAAGGAAAAGATCTCCTGGGTGTATCGTGAGATAAAGCGGACCAGGACACTGCCCTCAAAGGCTACCACCAGCACCACCAGTAGGACGAGCCAGAAGCCGATCCACACACGGCCCACAATGTACTCCAGGTTGTTGCTGATGCAGAACTGTGGGGCAGGCAGAAGGTGTGAACCACTGCATGTGGACAGGTATTGTCAGGGGTCAGTTACAGGGATAGGGGCAGGGTGGGCAGGAATGACATACCGAGTAGTAGGCTTCCTCAAATACAAGCAGGGGTCCTGAGAAGCCAACCACGAGCAGGGGCTGGGCACCCAGCAGGGAAAAGAGAATGCCCTGTACAGCAGTGGAGATGAGCAGCTCCGACACCCCCATCTGGTTCCGGGTCTTTTCTCCTGTGGATAGAGGTCACAGTGGCATCAAGGTCATTTCCAGGGCCCAGTAGAGCAAGTCATGGGCTGGCTGATTGAGGGTTCCAGGGAATCTGATGGGGACAGAAGTCAAGGCTAGGGCAGATGCCAGAGGTCTGAGAGGGGAGGGGCAGGGGGCAGGCAGAGATACTGACCCAGGAGCCCACCGAAGGTGATGGCAGGTGACAAGGCAGCAAAGTAGATGAAAATGACAGCAGCCAGCACTTGCGGGCTGAGGGCATCTGTGATGTCACTCAGGTAGCGGGGGTAGCGGCGCCGGATGTCCCGCACAAGGCCCCCAAAGAGCTGGCCTGTCCGCTGCAGAGGGTTGTCTTGGTCCACACTCAGGTCTGTGGAGGACAGAACCATGGTAGGATGGGTGATGGGGTGGTGGGGGCATTGTCTGGTGGGTAGGGGTGGCCAAGTATGCTGGGGAAACACTTGATGGGAAGTGGGGGTGCTCAGGAAAGGCAGGTGTTCACAGGGTTGTGTTGGGCTATCTGAGGGTCCTTGGGGGCTCAGGAAGCCTTGGGTGGGTTAGGGGCAGGTACCTGTATCCTTGTAGAAGCTGGGGTCTGGCTTGGCAGGGCTGGGCAGATAGCGTCTCCGTAGCAACTCCTTTTGCACAGGTATCAGACTGAGCAGGGCCTTCTCTGAGGGGGCGTCCGTGGGGGGCAACACCAGGCTGTAGTTCAGAAAGCCTTCCAGGGATTGCACCAGCTCCCCTCGGCTCTGGGCCAGGTATGCGTCTGTGCGGAACACCTGGGGGCAGGGAGAGGCTCAGGGAGGCTGAGGATCTAGGAGTCCAAGCCTCCAATGCCCAAACCTTCTTACCCAGCTATGCTGGCTGGGAACTGCTTTTCCTGGCCCCTCCCACCCCTGTCCCCACTAAGCAAGAGCTTCAGGGAGATTCACAGTCTCCAGTGGAGAAGGAGCTAAAACGAACCAGATGGATTCTAGCAGACCAGCTGGAACAAGGCCAGACCCGGCCCATCCTAACTGGGAAGAACCGACATGGGCCAGACTAGACCAGGCCAGGCTACTGTAAACCAGACCAAACCAGTTAAGAAGGAGCTGGACCAGACCTCACAGCCAGTTCTGCCGCTGGCCAGATGAGACAGATACAGCTGAATTGAGCTGAATGGGTCAAGCTAATGAACCGGAAGTAACCCAGACCAGTGGAGTCCAGAGAACAACCTGCTACAGCCCACCCTCCTCCTGCCCCTGCTTCCCCCTGGCCCCCACCATTCCAGCCTTTCCTCACCCTTTCTGACATGAGAGTGGCTGCAGCCCGACCAAGCTGGTTATAATCAATGTGGGGGTCCTCAGGGCCCAGAAGCACGAAAAGAAAGCGCACAGGCCGTGGTAACTCTATGGCCTCCAGCTGTGTGGCCTCTTGCAGCCGCACAAAGCCCAGCACCGGCCGCTCCAGGAAGGCAACCCGGCCTGTGAGAAGAGCAGAGTGGTTAGGCCAGGCTGGAGTGCTGGGTGGGTGGACTTGAGGGAAGGGGCTGCTGGGCCAGGTGAGGGATGGAAGCCGTGGGCTATCAGAGCGAGGGCTGGTGTTGCTTACCCACTAGCACCAGGGTAGCCTCCGCATCTGTGGGAATCTTTTCCAGAATTCCAGATGATGATCGCCCTTCTGTGCTCCCCTCTCCCTGTGGAAAGGAGGATGGTGAGGGAAACACTTAGGCACTGTGGACTCTTTTTTCCCTGCCCATTCTCATGTTCTTCCCGGCACAGACTCACCTGATCACAGAAGAGCTGTATCTCCAACGAGGGATGCTGGGGGAGCAGAGGCTGTGAGGACCACCCAGAGCGTGTCAGAACCGTGGGCTTCACACCTCCCAGGGCCTCTAAGTCTCTGGCACGACTTCAATAAACAAAACACAGGGGACATGGGCTGAATGAACTATTCAGGCTGGGTTTTGGAGTTTTGTAGCAGGAGAGATCAAGGACAGACACCAAGTGGGACTTCCCAATGACCAGACCAGAGAGACCCTGGTCTCAGGAGAATCAGAGCTGTCTCATAGGATGGATGTAAGTGGTGGCCTCTGTCTAGAATGGCTAGGTGCCGCCAGAACACTAAACAGAAGGAAGGATCTTGAGGGTCTGTCATTTTGAGGACTCATGGCCTGGAAGGGCTTAGGTTCCCGGATTTCTGCTTCCAATTCTGGCCATGGAGACATGGTCACCTCTTGAAAGGTGTTAGCAGCAAAAATCATAGCGGAAAAAGAGGCGTAGCCCGCTAGGTAGGGGAGGGACCATCGGCAGCGCATAGGGAAGCTTTGAGGCAGGTGGACAAGGGGAGGGAGGCCCTGGTGGAGATGCTACCTGTGCTTGAGCAGCAAAACCCGGAACAGCTCCTCTCGGTCCTGAGGCCGGATCTGCTCGTTGTAGATAAACCCGTCCAGCAGCTGGCTGGCCACCCCAGCTAGGGCAGTCTCTTGCAGGTCCAGGAGGACAGTACCTGAAGGCAGGGGAGAGTGAGCTGGGCCACAAGACCTGGGCCCTCCCTCCTTCACCCCAGGTCTCAGGTGCAGGAGTCACAGAAGGACCCAGTAGCCTCACCCTTGGCAAAGGCTTTCTGCAGCTCCAGGAGGCTCCAGAAGGTGAGATGAGACAGATGTGGGTAGCCCCAGGCCCCGTCCTTGCCCAGATTCTCCTCTAGTTGTAACCAGCGAGCTGCCTCCATCCATTGCAGCTCCTGGTTCTTCTCATCCATTACCAGTTCCTGCAGCTCTACGTAGACCTGCAGCCCCACAGAATTAGCCCACCAGGTCCAGGGTCCAACATGGGCATAGCGGAACCCGGATCCTGTACTTGGTGGGCTTATAAGAGATGTTTGTAGGAGACCCAGGACCCTGAGAACTTAGGGGCAGACACTGGGCTCAGAGGAGACAGTCAGGAGCTCCAGCTTGGTCTGGGAATGTTGGGTAAAGTGGGAAGCTTAGGGAGTTGTCAGGGTGTAAGGGTGCTTTGGGAGCCAACCCCATCACTTATTCTGTTCCCCAACTAGAGGTCTTTGGAGGACTTCTGGACAAAAAGAAGTATTGGAGTGGCCATTTGGGAATGAAAGGAGAGGGAAGCTGGGTTCAGGTGGCTCAGGCTAAAAGGGCCTTTGGAGTCATTGGGCCAGTCTCTTGATGAGTGGCTGTGTGGCTCAGCATGTCCTTGAATTTCCTTGGGGGTCAGGCCAGGGGCTGAGAGAAGCCAATTCTCTAACCAGCTAGATAGGACAAGAGTCCTATCTAGGGGGCCGGGGCAGAGGAGAGCAGTGTTTTAATTTTGTACTACCCCAGTGAGAAAGCCTAGCCTGGACTAGGGAGCCTGGGACTTAGACCACCAGCGGTGGCCCAGGTCTTCTTCCTCCTCAGTGGGGGTATCCTTTTCCCTACTTCCTGGGATCATTACTCTTTTCTGCTTGTTTGTGGCCCCTCCCCACCTCCTTCCCACCCCTCCATCCTGAACCTGCTTTCCTCTGGCAGAATGATAGTTCCTAAGGGCAGCATGGGAAAGAAAACAGGAAGGCTGGGGTCCTCACCTCGTGGGTGCCTGGGTACGATGTAGTTTTGTAGTCTGTGGCTGTTGGCTTTGTGTCTATGATGTGGGCTGAAAACCAGAGGTGGGATGCTGTTTTCCCCCAGACAATTCCCCAAGCCTTATGGGTCCTTGCAATCCCACTACAAGTCTCAGTGACCCCGGCATGGATGATGTCCCACTGCCTCCCATTGCTCCTGGGCCAGGACCCTGGAAATCCACCCTACCCCTGCCACCCTGGGGTCCCAATGCCTGTTCTTGGCCCTGCCCAGCCCTGTCACTCCCTATCTGAACATCGCAGTGGACCCCTGGGGTTGGCTCCTCCTCAATGATGATGGAGATTGGAGTGTCTTGAATGGCTATTTCTGCACCATCATCTTTCTCTTCTGCCACCCTCTGGAACAAGATTCCCTTCCTTATTCCCACCTGCCTCAACAGTCCTGCCAGCCCAGCTTCCTACTACCTCTGCTGAGCTCTGGACTCAAGGCTGGGCCAATCCCTTATATTTCCTCCACCCCACCCCACTCCACCCCTAGCCCTCATTTCCCATAGAGGCCTCTTGTCTTCAACACTAATTGCTAGTGCTTAAGGTCTGTTGACAGTAAACGGCCCTGCCTGGGGCCCTTGGACAGGCTGAGGAAGGTGGTAACTTTCTGACTTCGGGGTCCACACAGGCTCCCTATTTCTCAAGACCTCTTGGCCCCCCAGACCCAACAATGTTCCTAGAACAGGCCCAGTTCCTGGCCAAGAAATTGGCATTAGATGGGCACAGATGGCATGTGATCTCACGTCCTTCTGTCAGATGGGCCCTCTCACCCATTAAGGGGCAAGGAGACAGGGGACGGGCCCTGCCCGAACACACACCCCTCCCCCAGTCATCTCCTGTGATCATTTCAAACAAAACTCTGTTTACCCTTCAATCAGCCAGGATTGTGGGGAGAACTGGGCTGGGGTTGGGCATGTGGAAAAGAGGAGAGGTCAAATTCTTCAACCTACAGAGCTATGACCAAGGGCCCGGCATCTCATCCTTGGCTGAGGGAAGGGATACTCACCTGTTGGCTCCACAATCTGGGGCATGGAGACACCTGGGTCTTCATATTCTTTCTGCTCTAGAGTTTCTGGTAGCACTTCGTCATAATCCTCCTGTGGGGAGTGGACTTCAGGGCCTGCCTGTGAGGGCTCCTCAACCCCCCTCCCCATGGAGGTAAGAACCTAAGTCAGCTCCCCAGAGCCCCCAGGTAGGAGCCCTGCAGCTGCTGGGGGACCCACCTGAAAATCCCCCATGGCGATATTCTGAGTGTCCAATTGTCCTCCACGGTCTCAGCTTCCAGCATAACCCGCCCCACGGGTCCCTGTTGGGGGGAGGGGCACAGACTGAGGCACAGGGCATCTGGGGGGTTCCTAGTCCTTCCCCAGAGGAAACTGCCTTTCAGGGATGGGACTGCAGTTGTTGGGAGATGGTGGGGTTGGAGGAAGGAAGTGAGGTGGGGTGGGAAAGAGGCTGAATTTGTGGGTGTGAAGGCCCATGGCCAGAAGAAATAGAACAGTACAATGAAGGCAAAGTTTGGGGCTGGTGTCAATCTGAATGTCTTGTAGAGGGCGGGTGGGGTGTTCTTTAAATCAAACTTCCTCTTCCATCTTCCATTTTTCTGCTTGTCTTCAGGACTTAGCCAACTGCAGGGGTATGACCTGTCCCCAGTTCAGAGGCCCTAGCTTCTCTGAGGGTCTCTTCAACACATCCTATCCCCCAAATGCTGCTCAGGATGGGCGTGGGCTGCAGCATCCTTGGGGTGTAGGAGGCACAGTATCCCTGGCACTGTCTTTCTGGTTTGAGGGGAGCACTTGAAACTTGGCCCACAGGCTCTGCATGGTATATTTCAACTTCTCTCCCCCAACTCGTATTGAACTCCGTTCCCCTTGCTCTCCCTTTAAGCCACTACAGCTTTCCTGCCCCAGGGCCTTTGCACATGCAGTTGTCTCAGCCTGCATGTGCCACCCTGACACCTCTCAGTCTTCTTATATTTCAACCCAAATGTCATCTCTTCAGAGAGCGCCTTCCTGATCACCCTGACATTCACTACTAATCCACCCTGTCCTTTTCTGGTTTCTTGAATGATCTGTGTCTACTGTCTAGCATTGCCTCTGAAAGAGAAGTCATATGTGTACAGTGTGAAGACTTTGTCTGTCATAGTCCCCACTGAATCCCCTGCTTCCAGTAGGGTGATTGGTACATAGTAGGTGTTCAATAAATATTTATTGAGTAAAAGTTACAATGGCTCCGCATTGCAGGTTTGGGGTTCTATAACTGGGAAGCCAGGAGGCCACTGAGTCCTGGGCCTGTTTCCTCAGTTATGTGCCAAGAAGAAAGGAAGATAAGCCCACCCTGTGCCTGGTCTCATGCTGAGCACTGGAGGCTGAGATGAACAAGAAAGACGTGGCCACTCCTCTCAAGAAGCTCCTATCCCTAACTGGGGAGATAATCAGGGGACACATGGCAGGCTGTCCCCAAACATACATAAGCTATAAGGCCAACAATCTGTATGTCAGAAAGAAGGGGCTTCTTGGAGTGACCCTGGAGCTGGGTCTAGAAGCTCAGGTGGGACTTAATGGTCTGAAAAGTGGTGGAAGGAAGCCTGGCAAGAGGAATGGCCAAGCAAGAGTGCTGAGAAGTGTGACAGGTGTAGCTGAAATAGAGTTGGTGTTGTTGTGAAGTGCTGTCAAGTCGGTTCGACCCATAGCGACCCTGTATAGGGTTTCCAAGGAGCAGCTGGTTAGCTTGAACCGCTGACTTTGCAGTTCAAACAGCTTTGCAGTCTGGCACATTAACCCACAGCACCACAAGGGTACCTGTGTGGAAATAGGGTAGGGATTCTAGGCAGATACAGCTATACAAGAACTTCCTTTCTAAGGAATGGATGGCTATACCGTCCTTAGAGATTAGGAGCAGGCATGGCTGAGCCCCACCCAACTGAGAAAAGGGAAGGGTCTCTGACTTGAGATGATGAGGGGACAGGATGACCATGGGAGGGTCCCAAAGCCGGAAGATGGGTTTGTTCCTTGAGGATCCAGATCATTCACATACCTTTTCTCTTTCTTCCTTCTCTCCCTCTCTCTTCCTTCTCTGGAAGTTCTCCTGTCCTCTTCCCCCATCTCTCTTTCACTTGCTCCTTTAGCCTCTCTGTAGTTCCTAGAACTCACCAAGCCCTTCCCTGTCCCAGGGCCTTTGCACATGCGTTTGTCTCAGTCTGGACACACCTCAGTCCTTGTCACATTTCAGCTTTTTCTTCCTCCTTTGGCTTTGCCCACTCCCCATGCTGGGCTTCAGTTCTTAAGCAATCTCAAGAGTTTCTAAACCTTAGGTGCTAAAAGTTCACCCATGGGTTTGGGCTTGTGGTCTCAGTTTTCCCATCTGACAGGTGGGATGGTTAGAGGGGCTGTCCAGAGTCTCAGAGTCCAGAGATGCAGGCTGCTTCCCAACCACTGATGGGGCAAATGGCTTTGGATGGCTCTCAGCCTCTCTCTAGGTCTCAGTCACCCCATCTGTACAATGGAAAAACCATCCCATTGTGGTTCTGAGACATCAGGGAGAAAGGAGATGCCTTGAGCTCAGTCAAGGCTTTGGAAGGTGTACCCATGACTCAGATTGCTGCCCTGGCCTGGTACAGCTGCCTGCCAGCCTCAGGCCTTGTTCTGCCCAGCACTGATAAGAACTCAGTCCCCAGTGGCTGTCCTGGGCCTGGAAACATGTCAAACACCTGGTGAATCAGCCAGCCAGCCAGCCAGCTAAGGCAAGGCCAGATAAGGGTGAGCGGGAAATCTGGGGTCCAGAAATGGGGAGGAGTGTGGGCCACACAGCTGGAAAGAGGCTTTGAGGGGGAACAGATGACAGGGAGGATTCTCTGGTGGTACAGTACCCTTTATGTAATCATCCACACACCACACCGAGAGCCATACTGCCTCCTCTTTTATAATCCTCAAGCTTTCTATGAAGTGGGTAAATGCCATTAGCCCCATTTTACAGATGAAAAAACTGAATTTCAGAGAAGTATGTCTGTTTCAGTCATCCAGTAGGTGGGTATCAGAGGTCAGATTAAACTCTAGCTTACTAGACTGCAGTTTTTTCTCTAACCATTATGCTGAGCTGCTTGCCCTAAAACAGCTATTCTTCTTAGAAGCAGTTTAGTATCAGTGGTTAGGAGCAATTCTGCAGTCAACTGTCTAGGTTCAAATTCCAGCCCTGTCATTTAATAGCTGTGTGACCTTGGGCAAGTGACTCAACCTCTCTGTGCCTCCGTTTTCTCACCCATAAAGTGGGGATAGTAATAATGGTTCCTGCCTCAGAGGCTTGTTGTAAGCAATCACTAAGTTCACAGATCTAAAACCCTGAGAACAGTACCTGGCACACAGAGAGAGTTATGTAAATATTTACTACCATCATCATTGCTACTGGGGATCGAGGTTAGACTTGCTGTCCTCATCACCCATTGCATTTTCCTTTACTTCCCACGGACTTAGATTGAGCTTAGTGCTTCAAAAGCCTCAGGTTTCAGGGGGCTTCTTCCATCCCTTCAAACATACCCCAGGAGGGGAATAGTGCCAGGTTCCCGTGTAGACACTCTGGAAGTGCCCTATATGGGAGCCAGCATCAGCTACATCTTGCCTCCTAAGTGGGAGACGGGGTGGTCTGGGAACATCTACACATGGAGGAAAGAGAGAACTGGGTGTCTGAGAACCTGGATCTATGGAACCAGAGGAGCTGGTAAAAAGGAGTGGACTAGAAACCACACCTGGAGAGGAACCAGATGTGAAGCCCCCTCCACACACACAAAGCAACCTCACATACCTCTGCTGCCATGAGACAGTCTTCTGCTCCTAGTTCCTGCTGCCCTGCTCTCCCTGGCTGCAGGTGCCAACAGGGCGCGGGCCTGTGCCCTTAGGGGCAGCAACACATCTCATGACATTCTCACCCCACCACTTGGAGTTTAGGGAGCCAGTGCCCACCTGGCCACAGATTCAGAATGAGCACCTGCAGAGTCCCTCAGGACAGGAGCCTCGGGACCACCCCTCCCTGCCCTGCCCACCTGTTTTGGAGCCTCGGGTCCCTCGGCAAACTTCTGCAGCCACCGGTGCCCTCTGCAATCAGCTGAGCTCCTGTCCGATCTAACAGCGCCAAGGCCTCGTTCTCGCGCCCCCGGGGCAGCTCGCAAACCCCTGACTCATGCCCCCGCCTCCTAATCTGCCTACCCCATGGGTCCCAGGAGCCCGATGCACCCCCCCCACCCTGTGCTCACTGGGTGCCTGGTAAACAGAGTTATCTCTCACTCACATCTGGACAGCTGTGAGGCTGTCCCACCCCACCCCCCAGTCAGCCCCCCAGGGCCTCCCATAGTCCTACTGGCCTTGGGTTTCTCCTGGGTCTTTCTTGGTGGACTGAGGTTCGCTGGCTGGATTCTTGGAGCTCCAGCCTTATGGCGGGATCAGGGGGAGGGGCGCACCAGCCTCTAAAGAGCTCCTACTGCCTCTGTCCATCCCCGAGTCTGTCCTGCCCCATCCTGCCTCTGTCCATCCCCTGGCCCAACCTCACTGTCAGCAACCTTTCCATACTCCTGAGTCCCTCCTCAGAACTCTGTCTTCTCCTACAGTCCTCTCTAAGGACCTGTTCATTGCTCACAGGCCCAGGCAGTCCCCTTCTCCTTGTCCTAGCCCAAGTGCCCTCACCATGGTCTCACTATCCCAAAGACCCTGGCTGGCTCCGAAGAGCTGGCCCCTGTGCACTACGACAACGCTGACACTCAACCTGAAACAATGTCAGGCAACAAAAACAACAGTACCCACACCGTGCTCTGGTGCTCACAAAGCCCCAATGTCTGGGCACACTGTCTCCTCTGTCAGCCGCCCGGCCCAGGCCCCCGGGCTGGAGCAGCAACATTCTCGGCCCCCGCTATGCCCACGACGCCCCTCCCCACTACCCCCCCACACCCATGGGGTAGTGTCTCTGCTTCTGAGGGGGTGGGGGGCTGGAACCTCATCACTTCTTCCTGGGCTCTGGTTACTAAAGAAGCTGTCTTAGCAGTGAGTTCAGGTGGGCAAGAATAAAGAGGTTTGAATGTAGATGGAAAAGGGTGTTGTCCCTCTCTCTG